TCCTCTTATAAAGGTCTAGAGTGTCATTCGGGGACGAATGTTCCTAAAGGGGGAGTATTGACACACCCCGGAAATTCAATGACCTATACTAGATCCTTATATGTTTAGTAATGACGATTTTAGACCTAAATAAGTGTAAATAACCTCTTGGAGAAGTGTTGAGGCCATAGCATTAAAAAAGGCCTTGATGTCCAAAAACTAGCTAAATTGAACTAGTAGACGTCCCTATGTTAGGTGATGGTTTTTTGAGGATCATATGGAGTACTTCATTACTTTATTTTAGTTTAGGTAACACTTGTCTTAACCGACATAGACCATAAGAGCTAAGTGTGGAATTCGGTGTTGTAAAACCTTACAACGAAGAAAAGTGGTCTAATAGACAAAGTAAAACCAAACATAAACGTAGCATTCTTGATGGATCCACTAGCTAGTCTTCCTATGGGGGAAACATAGTTCGAGAACTAAGAGATAAGTATAATCCATCTACATACCACTTGGCAATTGGGGCCTCCTCTCATGGGAATCCATTGGATGAATATCCCTCATTGGGGAGTCAACATCACATGTGGAACTATAGGGCGATCTTCCTCTATGGAAAGCCATCACCTTCCATTGTCAAGTTCACTTGGTGCTAAGCTAAGTCCCTTTTGAAATGTCTTCAATGTCCTTATTAATCATCATAGTCTATTGTAGGTCATAGGGTCCAACCTCTTGTGTATTCATCATCATTATGTCTCAATTAGAATTGCATGAGTATTGTCCTTTAATTACAATTCATATATGTGAGGTTAGGACATTAACATTTTCATTTCATGATAAGGCTTATTGGTAAATCATTCATCATACTTATACCCTTTACATCTTAGCCAACACCTCACAAACCGTAGTCAACACATTTCAATTCAACATCATACTACCCTATCAATCCTAATACAAGGCATACTCCAATATAACATCATGACTTAATCACAATTAACTATAATTTGAAGTAAAGGATAGGGATCATAAGACTTACCAAGTCCCCTTCATAATTCATCATCAAAGTCTTACGATCAACCCTTAATTAAACCCAATTAGGTTATAAAATCATCATATTTCAATGACCAATATGATAACAAGGCTAAAAGAATTGCTACATCACAATTCAATACTAGATCATAGCTTAAGACAAGATACTTCGGTCAAACTTACAACATACTTTATAACCTAGATTACTTCTCAAAAACTAGCATGAAAGGACTACAATTCACTCTAATTCATTCATTATTAGTATAACAACATCATCTAGTAATAATTCAACCAAGTCAATTGAACCAATATAACATAATTCATATCAAGTTCATAACCTAGGGTTAAGGGGTAACGGTCATCTTCTACAAACTAGACCAAACCATCAAGATATATAACAATTAGGTAAGAGTACATGTTAATATGTTCATATTATCCAAAAGAAATCATAAACAATTCAATTCATAACGTCAATTGCGAGATTGATGAAACCCATTTAAAACCCCAACTTTTGAAATCAATTTGATGGAACCCTTTGAGGAAAGAGGTATCAAAGGTGAATTAGATCCCATACCTTTTTAATTGATGAATATTGATGGTGAAACGTTACTCTTTGCGGCCCATAAACCCTCCCTTAGATTGGTCTTCAATGGAGTTCTTCACTAGAGAGAGAAAAGAAGAGAGAAGGAAGAGACTTTGGGTTTGTGAGTTATGAGAGTTTTGATTAGTCTAATGGGGTTGGAGTCTTTATATGGGATTTTAATTAACTTAATTAGGCTTACCTTGACCCCTAACTAACGACCTAACCCCTTAATTAATTTATTGGAACTAACTTAAAACGTGCAGCAAATTAGACCCCTCATAGACGAGACCCAGATCGACGGTCCATCTATGAGACGACGGCCACAGGGCCCTCCGTCTTGTTGGTCTGTCGTTTCAGTACGTCTTGAGGAAAATTTCTAATTATTCATCAACAAGGCAATTGAAGACCCCACAGATTGACACACGGATTGTCGACTGCATGTCGTTGGTCACACTGCCCAGGCAGTCTTTGACCCCAACATGCAAGGGTCCTCTTCAAGGGACCTTGGTTGGTCCTTGGGGAGTCGTACCTGGACTTTTGACCATGAACTAACTTATACACATTTTAGACACCCTTCCATCAAATTTCATGAATTTTCGACTTCTAAAAGCTAGTAAAATAGGCTAAGACACGCTAGTATCTCCTTGAACTAGTTTTCGGACGTCATGGACGTTCTTGGATGTTTTGGATTCTAGACTTCCTAAATGACCTATATTCACTAAAATGGACCTTAAAACAGTGTCTAAACCTTAGGATACTTATGTTAGTCTCTATAATACGTCTTGAATTTTCGAAGTGTTACACCTGCCATTTGTAGTGGCAGCGATACTAAAAAGTCAAAACTAATTGTGACCACATAGATTTTGATATGAAATAGAGGTCCTAGTTGTGATTATATCCTCCTCATAAAGCATATAAAGTTGCTTTTGATTTTTAACAGCACTGCAGATTCGAATTCCATCGCCTACTATGACAACCAAAAAAGGGAGATAAACGGTACAACGTAACAACATACATAATAGGAATGAGTTTCATACGCAAAATATCAAGGAGTTCTACTTTCTCTAGAAACTCATAACTCCAAGATTAAATCATCTAACTAAGACAATAGTAACGGTATATTTAATACAATATAAAAGTTATAGGCTTCTTCCTTGTGCATGTGGTACTTGTATTGTTGACTCCTTACTATATCTTTATCCCCTTCCTCAAACTAATTCAAAACACACCAATACATGAAACATCTCAACATGCCAAGAGAAACATTAAAATTATAGTTTTTTCTTGAAGGATCACTTCGATAAATGCGCTCGTAGATAACTGGTAACAATCATTGTAGAGAACAATACTCCTTGTCTACTGCTATAGTAATGCACTTATGGCCCAACAATCCACTTTTTTTTCAAGACAAAAATAATACACGGTTAATAAACAGACTAGGATGTCATGGGAAAATTCAACAACTTGTTAAAGCCCAACATGGGGACACATTTTCAATCCAGAAGATGTATGTAAATTTAATGCCCGTTCATCTCAAAGAAGCTTGGAAACATCTTTATTTACATCAAAAGATACATCCTAGTTAAATTCAATCTATTGTTGGCTATACCGAAAGCTAGAAACAATTGAGAGATTGTAGAAATTTGGAATCACTGTCCTCCCTGATTGTGTCTTTGGTAGCCAACACTTAGAAACATTCTCGCATTTATTCGTTGACCAAGAACATATGGAGTTGTATGCTACAATTGTTGGAGCATAGAAGAAAAATACAAGACTGGGAAACTGAAGTAAATTGGATGAGCCAGATTGCAAGACGAAGATGTGGTGTTGCTGAAATCACAATTTGTTCATTTGTGATTGTTGTGAAGGTGATGTTAATGCCAATGCCAAAGATGGGGAGATATTTTATGGTCCAACAAGTACAGAGGAAACTCAATTCGAAATGTCATTATCTATATAAATACAACAAGGCATAGCGCAAGAGGATCATACTTGTATTTCTTATACTAAGGAGGTATTACTCTTCAAAAAAAAATTAAAAGTGTAGCTAATGGTTTTATGTCAATGAATAGAGTTCCTGAAAATCATCTATCAACACAGGACAGTAGAGACAATGGTTCGGATAAAATGTTTTGAGAAATTAGTGAAAAGGCGTCAAAAGTCATAGACTAATTTCACGCGTACTCCGAAAATGTTGTTGAAGGAAGATGACTCAATGCAACTCAAATAATACTACATAAACTTGTACAAGCAGTAAAACTCTATAAATACAAAGTTTCAACATTAAAACATACTAAAATTAAACAATTATCTTAACAGAAGTTGCAATTATAAAATAATTGGTATTATGTGTTGGCAGTTCTTGACGTCCAGTAAAGATGGTTATAACTACTTCATTTTAGGCCTACGACTATCCCAGTAAAGTGTAACCTAAACTAGCAAAAAGTGTTGCTTATGATAAAAAGCTACACTTTTGGACTTTAAGCAACACTTTTAAGGTGGTGGCCTAATGTCACCGTAGTAGCTACACTTAACAAGTGTGGCCAAAGAGGTATAAAAGACATGCTTTGTAGTAATTCATTAGCACCACCTATTGTTCGATTATACTACACTTAAAGGTGTGGTCTTTGCTTTTTTAATAGTGACAATTAAAAAGTGTTGCATTTTATCTCATCGAGAACAACATTTTTAAAGTGTAATTTTTCTTATTGGACGTACCTTGAGAAAGACCTTTGAAGTGTGGAAATGTTCCATAGAATTTTTGTACCCGCAATTTTTCATTTGTAAGAATAATAATTTTTATTTGCAAATATTCAATAATCACATAATTAAATATTTAAGTTATCTAAACCACAAAATTAGCTAATAAATAAATCAAAGTTATATATTCCAAATAAACTTCGAGAAACATGTCTTGTCCAACCAATACTTAGAAAACGATTGCCTAAGGATATCTACTATCATTAAATTCCATAAAATTGAATGCATTCAAAAAAAAAAAGGTAATGGGCAACTCTATTCAACTCATCATGAAAACAGTCTCTACTTATGAAGTTGTTTCTGACCAGCTAGTGAATCGAGATAAAAGTCACTTCATGATCCCATACGATGCTCCGATTCCAAGGAGGTTACTTGCTTCACCCACAAAGAAATCACTACGACGTACCTTATACATTGGAAGACACATTCTGGTTTCTGGGAATTTCGCTAGCAATATGGGATTCTACTCAGCTTCACTGGGATTTATTCATACCCCTCTACCTCTATGAAATCTTCTTATGAAGTGGGGTAATATGCAACATGAAAATAGGCTCACAAGCTCATAAATCAGGCCCTTCCCATCGTTATATATTGGAACTCGTGGAAAAACAAATGCGTAATAAAATATGGTGCCAAACAATCCAATATGAGGAGAGTGAAGTTCCTAATCTGCAAAAATATCCTTCAAATTTTCAACATTGTTTTCCTCTTTATCCAGAGGTCACACAATTGGAATGATCTTATCTTTATGGTGGAAAATTGTAGTCATGAAACTAAATTTATACTAGTTCATTAGGAAAGAGTTTGCAACGGTATTTACAAGCTAAATACAGATGGGAGTGCTCTCAATAATTCAGGCAAGATCGGTGGAGGTGGAATTTTAAGAGATCACCAAGGAAAGTTGGTGTATGCATTTGTTGTTCCCCTTGACATTGGTACCAACAACCAGGCTGAGACACAACAAGTCATACATGGAGTTAACTGGTGTATGCAACATCGATACATGAAGATCATTTTAGAGGTGGACTCTAAACTATTCATGAAGTGGATCACTGCTAATAGTATTCCTCCATGGCAACTTCATAACTTCATCAAAAAGCTGCAGCAGATCACAACCAGCCTTGAATATTTCCAGTGTAAAACATTCATACAGAGAGGATAGCTCCTCTTCTGATTACCTTTCGAACTGGAGTCATACATCAGACATTACTCAACACTTCTAAATATATAATAAACTAGTAGCAGTAGCGAAAGGAAGCTACATTTTGGAGCAGCTGGGAATGACAAACTTCATGAGGAAGAAGTTCAAAATAATTAAGAAACCACCTTGAGGATATAATCAGTATAGATGTTACATTGTGTACTTAGCCACATTTTTTTTATGAAGGGTCAACTTGGAGACATAATCAACTATATAAAAGTGCAGTCTCTCGAATAAGCTTAAAGTCTTAGATTAGATAACTACAGAATTAAGCATTGCATCATATACTCAACATGTTATACTCTATTGTAAGACATACCTTTCACGAAAAGTCTGCCACACCATTCCTCTTAAAGCATTTGAATTCCATGGATTCAAAAAGTCAAGAACAACTTCTAATGTGCCAATCCATGTGGATGCATCCATCAGTGACGGAAAAGAGAATTTTTGAAGATTAAATTGCAAGATGACATGCTTATCATGTTGGATTGCTCTCAATCAAGGCATTATTAGCTAAGTTGGCACCAAAAAAAAGGTTACGGAGATTATAATACATTCAAAAGAAGAGGTAAAGGTCTCTAGGGTCAAATCAGTATGTAATATACTATTCTTGTTAGGCCCAGAGAAATAATTTCATGTCAATGAGGCTGAATTTTCACCTTTTTTAGATGTACATATTCCTGCATATATATAGACATCAATACAAAATTGCACTGCTAACCAAAATGGACTGCCTACATTATATCACCAAAAGATTGAGCACAGATGACGGAATAATATCTTCGATGCTAGCCATGTTTCCCTCCAAATGTTACTTGTAACCTGATCTTTCGACAAGAATAGATACATAGTGAGAACATGTATGATGATATTGACCAGGGAAGATAGGTTTTAAGTATAAGAGTGACAACTTCTTCTATTATGGTATTTCTCATAATAAGACAAAACTACTCATAACTTATTTTAACAATATGTCATTAGTGCAATCAACAGTCAACAGAAGGGATCAGCCTTGTTCCCAGACTGAACCAGTAATTTAAATGCACAACCTAAATCTATGTGAAAAAACAGTACAATTACAGGAAATTCAATAAAATTTGAACCGACTTTCAAGAGTAAGAACTTAAAGGTTAAACCTGAAAATCCAAATTCTGGTGAAGTCAATACCTTTCACTTTATTATCAAGGCACCTTCTGTCAATCACAATGATGGTGCACTTTCAACTGTACCAGCCTGTACTTTTGTGCTAACCTACAAGCTCAATGACAATATCTATAAAATATGTACCAAAAGATATATGTATATATATATACTTCACTATAAACAATTGAAGAAACATCAAGGTTATAAAAAACTTATCCAGAAAAAGTATGCTATGATGTCAGAGACATGCAGTTAAACATTTCCCTATTTTTGGTAAAACCCCTCGTAAAAAAATCATAAAATAAACTTCTTGAGGTGATTTATTCCCCTGTCCAAGTCACATACTCTGTGGAATTAGTCAAGCTTTGTGCAAGCTGATTCGACCCGAGGGTCATCAAAAAGAAATTACTCTGTTAAGCCCAGAGTTACAAAGAATAAAACAATGAGAACATGAAAAAGCTTATACATAAATCATGTATTAAACAAATCAGGATCAAGAACAGAGGCTATGAATTTTATTTTTTTCTTCAAATTTTGCTTATCCAATATCATGGGGTTCAAAAACAGTCTCTCATAATAAAGAAAACACACCCAAAAAAATACTTTTTGGTACATGATTACAAACTTAAGAAGATTAATAAACAACCAAAACGACCCAAGATTCTTACCTTATCTATGTATTTAGATTTGCATAAAGGTTGTTGGTGAATAAATGTGCAGAGGGAACATATAAATTTAAACAAACACTATATGATTGAAGGATAATTTTGAGACTCTGTATAGTAAAGGATTACTGATTTATGAATATGTGTTGCATGCATGTAGACCTAAAGAAGCATTGCAGCTACAGGAAAGTTTTTTCAAATGAAAAAAAAATGCTGGAAATGAAAACTAATGTCTACTTGGAAGCTCCTAGGAATAATGGTGGTAGAGTATTTGAGTTCTTGAATTATCGACCTCTGCACTGTAGAGCAAATTGACTATTGCTCTTTAGAGTCGATATAAATATACAGAACTATTAGTTAAGACCTACAAAATTATAATCTTTTTTTATGAAATTACTGCTATATAAATTAATTCTCGTGAGAGCAACAGATGCTTAGTAAGAACAAAAAACCAAAGTTAAGACAAAGAGGAGTTAAGAAGATGGGGAAAAGGCAAAAATACGAGGAGTCAAGAGGTCCAAAAAATTGTGGAATACAAGAAAAACATCAAATATTCCAAAATCAAGTAAAAGAAATAGAATAAAGGAATCAAAATCAATACAAGTGAAAAGTAAGCTCATCTAGATAGAGCTACAAAGTCCGCGAAAATGCAAAGTCCAGAAAAAGAGAAACCAGATGGAGGTGGCATTAGGTTTGTTTGATGTAGAATACAAGAAAAACAACAAATAATGCAAAATCAAGTAACAAAAATAGAATCAAGGAAAAAAATCTATACATGTGAAAAGCAAGCTCACCTGGATAGAACTACAAATTAAAGTTGACGAAAACGCAAAGTCAAGAAAAAGAGAAACCAGATGGAGGTGGCATTAGGATTCTTCTCAATAACAACAGCCCTAAGGAAAATGTTATGCCAAAAGATTTAATCTAGAAGAAAATTATTTGTTCTACACTTTTACTTTTTGATAGAAGTCAATCCTTTTTGAAATAATTTAAGATTTCTTCAGCAAACATCAACTGAATAAAGCAACAAATATAATAAAATTTCCAATTTTGCATCAGTGCATAAATGGCATAAACTTCCTTACAATGTTGAACAACTAATAAGCCATCAGTAAAGAACCAAAAATCAACCCAAATATTATCAGCAAGACAAAAACATCAAATCCCACGCAATAAACCTAGATGCTAGCTGGTTCCTTTTAGTTGCTCAAGAAAAATTGTTTGGTTTCTCTACATTCAGTAAATCTAGATCTTAAATGATAGAAACTATTACAAGATGAACTACATTCCTACAAAATTCCTTCAGATCTGATGAAACAGATGTCCATCGTCTTATTTTGTAAATCGGATAGATAATTTAAGTAGTGATTTCTCAAAGAAGTAGATACTAATTTCATAAATAATTTAGGTACTAATTGTGAGCAGTCAATTATAAGAATTTTCTGAAAGGTTACGTGGAGAGTGTTTTGTGAGTGCTTTGGGTAAAGAAATTTGAGAGTTAATTTTTAAAAATATTTTTTGCTCATTGATAGTTGGAGGGAGAGTTAAATATGTGAGAGGGAAAACAGTATTTTGGTGAAAATGTTAGGGGAACTATAAGACCACATTTGTAAGACGTTGTTTCTATAATTATAAAAATAGTCCACTTTAAAATTCTAGTCATATTTGTAAATAAGTATTGTCAATTATATTGAGAAATAGTAACGAAAATGGTGGCGCGACTCGCTATCGATCGAGGCCGCGCCGATTAGGTTGGGTGGGGGTGGGCACCGAGCGGGGGTGGGTCGGGATGGGTGGGGATGGGCGTAACGTGAGAGATGAGTGAGAGGTTTAGAAGTGAAAGAGATGGCTCAGGGTTTAGAGATTATCATTTTTTAAAATAAGTGTTAATTTACTGACCATCAGATGTCAGTATCATTTAAAATAATTATCTATATTTTAAATTCCCTGTGTTAAGCATATGGGCTTTGAAGCCTAGTGAGCACTTTCAGACGACTGCCTGAATCAAATAGGAGGGCAGGACCATCTCGCACTCTACTTAGATGAAGCCCCTGGGATTATTGAACGTAAATCAGTGCACGAGCCTATGCAAAATATTTAATAAATATCGACATCGTTAAGTCGATACTGTTAAAATAAAATAATAATTTAAATATACTAAAATTAATCAATATCAAATTTAATATATAAATCTCCTTAAATTGATCATTGATATTTCTTTAATTGATAATGTATATCATATTTGAACCACTAATATATAAGACTTGATTTGTTAAACTACTCGAGAAGTGAGGAGTATTCATTCCCAAGGTGGGAAGGTAGGTTCACTATGTTAAGAGGGTCCCAAGTATATGTCCTAGTTTTTGAACTATGTTTCCCCCATAGGAATACTAGCTAGTGGATCCACCTAGAATGTTATGTTCATGTTTTGGTACTACCTTGGCAAGTAGTCCACCTTCTTTCGGTGTAGAGTTTGATGACACCGGATTCTACATTTATCTCATGTGGTCTACGTCGGTTAAGGCAAGTATTTTCGAAAGTAAAATGAAGTAATGATGTGAACACTAACTACGGTGACCCAAGGGGTTTGACTTAGTCTAGGTAGGAGTATGGAACTCTACCAATACATTGCACTATTGTCCTTGAGGGAAGTCTTGGGAGGTTGTTCTTATGTGTTATAAAGTAAATGATATGCATATATTGAAGTTACATGTTAATGACCTTATATTAGGTTAGTTTCACTTATGAACATGCTATTGGTCTATGTTGCTAGATATGATGATGATTCCTTCTTTTGTTGGGTTTACTTGGTTAAGTATGATTATGAGGCTTTACTTGGTCATTGCTCTTGTGGACTTGATGTTGGGTTATGAGTAATAGTCTTGTATGTATGGTAAGGTTATGAACTCTTCTACATGCTTGGTTGTTATATCTTGACGTTGGAGTTGGGTTGGTTATGTATTCAACTATGCTATTACACATGTGGACTTGCTTATACTTGAGTATGTTGGTCTTGTGTTGAGTATGCTTGTATCATAAGGAATATATGATTATTGCGCTCTTTGGTTGTGCATAACGATTTTCAAAGTAACTTGGCGTGGTTTTATCATATGTTCCTTTTTAGCATGTTTTTTATATTGTAGGAGAATATGTTTCGATACTTAGTACAAGTGATGTGCTAACCCCTAAATCTCTTTTTTTCCAAACATTTTAGGTTCCGGTCATTGAAGGGTTTGTGACCCATTTGCAAGGAAGGCTTGGATCATTTTCTCCAATTGTGGGTATGTCCTCAAGTTCCGAGGATGATGTCTTTCTCTCACTCTACCTATGTTTCATTGTTATAGTCTAAAGACAATCATTTCACTCTTGTTGTTTCAAGATATTGTTATAAGCCCTAAGTGACATTTATACATGTGATTAAGGGCTATGCCGATATTATTATATTCCGTTTAGATGGTTTAACATGAGACATCCCTATTAAGACTATATTGTGCATGGTATATATATGTGAAATAAAAGTAGAAGACTATGTAGTGCTACCTATGCGAGGAGTCTAAGTAAAATCCTTTTATTTATATATATATATATATATATATATATATATATATATATATATATATATATATAGTAT